GTTGAGAGGGGTGTAACTGCCTCCTTAATCCGCTCCTAAGTGAGGCGGAAATCCCTTAAATCGTGGAAGGAAAACGGTTCCTGCAACCGTTCAGCTCGTGTTTGAATGAGTCAAACGACCAAGTTGGCGTTCATGATCCTAACTCCGTGTTTTAGGATTGAGATGCGGAGTTGGGTGTCGACCGAATATCAAAAACGCAGGGGTCACCTGCGTTTTGCTTGTTGAAGCTTGGAAACACGGGGGTCGCCTGCATTTTGCTTGTTGAAGCTTGGAAACACGGGGGTCGCATGCGTTTTAAGAACTGAAACACGAAGGTGAATTCCACGTTTTAGAAGAAGCTAATGACTTATAACTTCTTCTGTAGAGCGTTGCAAAGACCGTTGTTTAGTAATCTTCGTCTTGGCTCCTTAAAAATATGAGAATCGTCAGATTGTAACTTTTATCATTGGTGTTTGATAGGGGATCAGCTATCTATTGTGATTTTTAGACAGCCTACAATTAGTGGTTCTTTTCTTAGTGCACAAAATCCTTTAAAAATTTCGCATAAGAGGGGATTTGTTCGATTGCATTTAAGAGAGGAATGTTGACCTTAACTTTTTTAAAAGTTTCTAGATTTTTTTTTACCTAAGGAGAGTTTTTCTAGGTCTTAGTCTATCTGGAAAGGGAGCAACGAGTTTATACCTATCTAGCTCAGTTTCAAGTTTGGCTTCTTGGTTATCGGAAGGAATTGATTTATTTGAAGGAGCATTTTGGATAGAAGAGGAAGAAAGGTTTGATCCAGAGACATTCAAACTTGATTATCTATCTGTTTTCCAAATCATAAAGTATGAACTACATTCACTTGAGTTAGGTGATTTGCACTTGATCCAGTGTCCTTAGGGTTTGTATGATTCAAAAAAATTTCTCTCTTTCACTCATGGTGCTAGCTAGTTTACCAAGTTAGGTTTCTAACCTAGCTATGACTTGAGGGTTTAAATTGAGGATTCCATCAGTTATCTGCTTGAAGGGATATAATGTGTTGAATGATCGAGTCAACATGTTGCTGCTCTATGTAGAAGCTTTGATCATAGCCTCTAAATACTTTTTTAAGACAATAAAACATTTCTCATGATCAGAACTCAAAAGAATAAGATTTACTGCTTAATGATAAGGAGACTGGTTTGGATAAGGTAAATTAGGTTGTTAAATATTGTTAAGTGTGTTGAATAGAACTCTATTTCCTCTAGGAAATTGTGGGGTTGAAGTGGGAGTAAAATTTTAATTTTCGATGAAAATTTTCTAATTTCATGCAAAGTTTGGATGACTTATCCACCTCGGATTGTAAGTTGGAGAAAACATATCATTTCTAGGATGTCAGAATGTAGTGTTCATCTACTATAGTGGTTGATTGTTTCCTAAGTGAGGACATTCCTCTGAAATATAGGCTTGAGAAAGACAGTTATGACATCCTAAGGCAAGTACTTGATTGATTTCAACTAGGGCTCATTCTTTAATTTCAAGGAGTTCTAACTTACGTAGGCTTGTAGACATCTTTACTTTAAAGGCTATGTTTGACTCTAGGAAAAAAACCACTAGATTTGGTTGGAGGAATTGATAAAATTCTTTCATCACAGTTTTTCGCTGCACGGTTTTATCAAAAAAACCCTCTAAAAATTTTCAAGCTTTGTTAATGTTTTTCTTCATAAAATCCCATTGACACATAGATTCTAAGAAAGCCTTTCAAGAATAATCCAACCATTTATAGATGACTTGACATAATCACCATTTTTCTAGACCATGATGAGGGCATTGGATGAGAAGATCCTTACACTTATCAACATACTTTTAGAGTGGCTCCCTTGAGACTCTCTTGAAGTTGTGTATGTTATTTCTAAAGTTTTCCATTTTATAGATTAGGAAGATTTTTTTTTAAGAAAACAGTAACAAATTTATCGTATGTTGAGATAAAATTTATGGATAAGCTATACAACCATTTTTATCTTTGTCTTTAGAGAAATGGAATAAATATGTGCTTAATCACATCTTCAGATAACTCTCTAATCTTAATCATAAGACATATTTCCTCAAACTCAGATATAAAAATGTATACAACTTTAGATTTATTTATGTATATTCGGATTCATTTCCTAAGAATTTTGTACGTATGTTTTAGCGCTATTACCAAGGAAGGTGCTTGTAATTAGGATTTTTTTGTTCTTTAATTTGTGTGTTTCCTTGTGAATTAGTTCTTTAATTTGTGTGTTTTCTTATGAAGGACTAAACTAGAAGAAGAAGAAGATTGGAAAAGAAGACATGCTTAAAAAGGCGAGTCTTCTTTATAGTATTTTGAATTTCATTGATGAGCCCATCGATTAGGCCATCGGTTAGATTGTAACAAAATTCAATCAATGGTTAATTTTGTTGATTCCACATTCATGGGCTTTTGGGCTTCTTGGCTCGATCTTGAGCTTCAATAAAAGGTTAAAAATTGAAGAAATTTAGTTCTTTTAGGCTCTTATTTGTTAATTCTTTATTACCCGTAAATTAAGATCAAAAACTCATTATTAATCGATATATTTATTTAAATAAAATAGATAATGTGAGTATAAAAGTATAATAAGCTATGATGACTATCTATCTACCAGTAAGTATCCTATAAGAACCAACCCTATAGGAGTGAGTGGTTTACACTATTGCTTGAATAGTCACAATTCCCAAACTAACCCTCTAACTATTCGTGTATGGTATAAATCATCTTATTCTATAGGGTGTTCTCATGGCCTGATCTATATACCTCTAGAGATTTGCAATTTTCCAATTAAAGGCTCTTATATTTACACTGTGCCCAACACCCCTTGCCCCTCCCACAAAAAAAAAAAAATTGTACTACAACCCAAAAGCCCAAAACTAAAACTAGAACCCAAATGGTAAAAAACTCATTACCCAAAACTCTAACACACACACACACACTCTCTCTCTCTCTCTCTCTCTCTCTCTCTCTCTCTCTCTCTCTCTCTCTCTCTCTCTCTCTCTCTCTCTCTCTCTCTCTCTCTCTCACACACACACACACACTTCATTGATCCCAATTCCATATATCCAAACTGTCAAATCTTAACTCCACTCTGCACCTATACTAACACCTGCCACCTCCCAAATCGCTGCCAGCACCCGTTACGAACCAAACCATCATCCATAAAATGTACCCAATGCATTTCCATCACATACTATAATTTTATAATATTATATTAGTATATTTACGCAACTATTAGATACTTGTAGTGCACCACCAAAGAATTTTTTTCCGGTCTGCCACTGAGTATTCTGATAGAATCTTTACTCGTCTGTCTACTACAATGAAACTAGATGTATAACGATCAAAATAACGACATTACATAGGGTCTGCATGTAAATAAAAAATATCTGTATCTTACCAGAAATGTGTATGCTTGTTTGATAGGAAAAGAAGTGCTAATAAATCCTGCTATGACATATCAAAAGGATCTATTAACAAATTACAAGATTTAGAATAAATTTTCTAATGTCTAAGATGCGGACTTTGGAATATAAAATGTGAAGACAAAAACTCTAAATTTTGTATACTTGACTTTCGTAACTAAATAGTTTTGGTTTTTTAGGCAACCACCTTAAAAAGAGAGTCATTTCACAGAAACCATCTTCTATTTATTAAATTATACATAAATCAACTTTAATATAAGTTTTTATTTCAATCATCCATATCCCAATCAAAGTTTTCACTAAAAAAAAGAAAAAGAAAATACCTTTAAAAACTCACATTTGAGACACGTGACTCACTTTGTTAAGGTTTGGGTTTAGTTAGGATACAAGTCGCGTATTTTAAACATATATATTTTTAATGTTATTTTTTATTTTTAGTGAAAATTTGGCTAGAAGGTGGTTGATTAGAACAATAACCTATTTTAAATATGGTTTACATATAAATTAAAAATAAAAGGTGATTTCTATCGAATGACCTTATTTTAAGGTGATTTCCTGGAGGAAAACCCTGAATAATTTTATCATGAGTTTGCAGTTTGTACAATATTTATGTGTATGTGTGTTGTTGTTTGGGGGGGTGGGGGTGGGGTGCGATCTCAAATCATTGAAATTGTTATGAGGTCCTAATAGGTCCCTAAAAATTATAGGTTTTTTCAAATTATTTCTTTTTTACATTTTCATAAAATGGATTTACTCTGTCTGATCTAGTGATTAATTAAAAATAATTATTTACTTATTTACCCTCTCTAGATTGGGGGAAGGCTTCTTCTTTTAGAGGACGTGAGGCAAGAAAATTTGAGAATTCGGATTTGCTGGGATCAGTGGAATGAGAGAGCTAGAAAAAGAAAGTGAAGCTATTGGAGCTTATGAAAAGTGATGTAGGAGTGCAAATGCATCAGATATGGCTTGAATATGATGCTTATTATATTTGTGTCCGTGTACTATTTATGAATCCTAATATGGATGTGTCCTGATATGAGAAGCCTAATAATATGTACATTATATCTGAAAACCTAAAAGTACTACTCGAGATTATTAAAATTAATCTCAAATCCCTTAATCTAAGGACAAAAAAATTTGCAATGACATGGTCAACATAAATTCAGATATTTCGAATACAAACCGAGATATTTCGCTATATATCTACATCTGTAACTATATTTTGCCAAATACACACATTTAATTACCATATCCGTATCCTAATGTGTACGAATATTTCCACGGATACACTATTTTTTTTGCACCAATAGTGAGAAGTAAAAAAAGAGGATCAAGGGGCGAGGATAAGAAAGAGGTGGGTATAACTGGCATTTCAGGATAAAAAAAGGTTAGTTTAAGGTGTATTCCCCCAAATCAAATGGCATCAAGCTAGAGGGTCTAATTTGTAATAACTTGTAACATTTCAGGGACGTAGTGGCAATTTCCACGATGAGAGGGACTGATTGGAAATAAAAAAGATGTAAAGGACTAGTATAGAGTTGTGTAAAATCCAATTACAGCTGCGAGCGATGAAAGAAAGAAGACGAGATCGAAAACCGCCATGGATTCATCGGTAAACAGAAGCCGGTGGCGAAAGCGAAGCCAACGAAACAAACCGCTCCTCTTCTCAATCTCCCTCCTCTTCCTCCTCTCTCTCCTCCTCCTCCTCCTCCTCCTCCTCGTCTCCTCCAAAACCCTAACATCACTCATCCCCTTCTCTCCCAAAACCCTAGCTCCCAAATCGAAGAACCCCTGCGAAACCCTAGCCCTAGCTGGAGAGAGATTTCTGTGGTACGCTCCCCACAGTGGGTTCAGTAATCAGCTGTCGGAGCTCAGGAACGCCATCTTGATCTCTGCGATCCTCAACCGGACGCTGGTTGTCCCGCCGGTGCTCGATCATCACGCGGTGGCGCTCGGGAGTTGCCCTAAGTTTAGGGTTAAGGGCCCGGCTGAGCTTCGGGCGGCGGTTTGGGATCATATCATGCAGCTCGCCGAAGAGCGAAGGTGAGTTTTTGTTAAAAATTAGATTTTTATTTATTTATTTATGATACTGTTGTTTTTAGATCTAGGGTCAGTATATTTGTTTTGGCAAATAATGGAGTCATAAAAGTTGGGAATTTTGGGGTGCCAACTTTTTTTGTATAGAGAACTGTGAAGAATTAGCAGTTGGATAGATAGGTATAAATTTAGAGGCAATGTATTAGACTTGGCGAAATGGGAGAAGGGAATTTAGTTCCTTGTAGTTATTATATAAGCTAACTGAACCATATGAGCTAGCAGTTGTAATTTATATGTACTGTGAAGAAAAGCCCCACGTTTGGTTTTTGTGTCAAATTTTCATAAAGAAAAAGGAAGAAACAATAGGAATGTTTTGACACTCAGAAGAATCAACGAAACACTCTCACCCTGGAAGGATCAAACAGAAATGTTTTAAGTGGGATTGCTTCAATAGTTTGATCCCTCACACATTTCTGTGACAAGAAAGCATCACGTGCATTACTTATGTTTGAAGTTATCATTGAGAGTTGGGATTTGGAACACTTCAATAGTTTCCTGTGGTTCCTTTTTGAACTCAACATAGGTTTTGGAAACCTGGCAGCCCTCAAGGACTTCCTGATCTATGTTAACTTAGCTATTACTTAATTAAATTCGACTAATATATATATGCCAGGTTTATTGATTCAGAATGAATCCCGCTCTGGTATATGCTTGGGTTTCAATCTTTATCCATTATTGAATATTACAATGATTTTATGATCCTTGAAGATGATCTTGCTGATGTATATGATATCGTATATTAACAACGTTTGTGAAGGATTATAACCACTTTGGCAAGTGATATATGTATAAATTTCAATCCGATCTATTAGTGCTTTTGGTTATTAGATAGTGTGTTGAATTGTTGAAAGATATGGAATTCAGTGAGTGATGAGAGAGAGACGTGTAGTTAAGTATCATAAAAGATGTCAAGGAACTTAAAAATCTAGATCACTGTTGGTCTTTGTTCGTGTGCATATGTTTGATGTGTGTCTGTAAAGGCTGGAGCCCAAAAGATAATTTAGTGCATGACATAACCAAACCATTACATGTATACAGAGTTTAAAGGAAACGGGATAATAGGTCAAATAAATGAAGAGCATAGGCTAGTATAACACTAGATTTTAGGGAAAACCTCCTAATGTGGAACTTTTATTATTTTTTATTTTTTGTAGGATTCGGGGTTCTAAGAATATATCCTTTGGTGAGGAATTGCATAGACAATTGAGTTACATCACAGGATAATCAGGATATTACTGTGCGTCTGACCTGCACCATAGCATGCTAAACTTGACCAGTTGTTGATCAAAAGGATGCAAAATTAAAATGACGCTCATGTACTGAAGTTGTAGATGGCTGAAATGGTAAGGTAACACATTATTTGAAGTCTTTTGATCAAGTTAGAGAATGGCCTTGATATTAACAGATAAAGTTAGAGAATAGCTTTGATAGTAACAACCATCCTGAGAATATGTGACAATTTAGATTAAACCAATTCTTATAAGCTACAAGAGGAAAGTGTCATGGATAGTAGTTAATACTCATCTTTCTGAGCTTATTATAAACCTAGCATTCGGCTTAATTGAGAGGGTCCAAAGCCCTTTGTATCACTGAATCTAATGATCTTTTGATAATGAGTTGTGCTAACTTTCTGAAGTCTACTGATGCTAATGATGTCACAAAATAGAGGATGGTAGACCATTTTAGCCAATCTGTGTACTTCATGAGTCAGGTAATTCCTGCGGTTTTCTTTTTGAGCTCTGAAAGAAATGCTCCATAAAATATCTGTATAGAAGGAAAAATTAGCAAGAAAAATAATTTAAATGATTAAATCCTTGCCATACGCAGACCCGTTATTAACAAGAATCAGAAACCTTTGTATATGTATATTTGCCAATAATTTGTAAAGCAGAATAGGTATGGTTAACCGGAATGTTAGTCTGCTGGCTGGCTGCTATATGGGACAGCTAGACAGATAACTTATACTACTGATATAGCTAACTACTGAGCCATGTTGAACGAAACAAATTAAACATAATATGCAATTTAACTCTTGACAAATAATATGCAGGCTGTTTTAAAGCTTTTCTTGCAAGGTAGTTTCCTACTCAAACTGATGGCCAGATCCTGACAGCTATATCAGAAATTGTGATGGAAGAACTTAATAATCATGTGAAATTAAATATAACAAATTATCACTAACTGTGGATACGGTTCTTGATATCTTAGGCACTTGACTCTATATTTTGCTTTGCTTTTCAGGTATGTGTCAATGGCCGACATTATTGATTTGTCTTCAATAACATCTTCCAAGGTCAGGATAATTGATTTTAGGGTATTTGCTTCTCTATGGTGCGGTTTAAATATGGGCAATGCTTGCTTTGGTAGTTTATGTTGTGCTATATCTGGTGATGGATCCTTGTCAACTAACTCCAGTCCATGCAGATCATTGCTCTCTGGATCACAAGGTAACGTTAATCATTGTATTTATGCTTTAGAAGAAGATTGTAGAACAATAGTTTGGACGTACCAACAAGAAAATGATGGGATGTTAGATAAATTTCAGCCTGACAGAGAATTGCAGAAGAAAAAAAAGATCTCTTATGTTAGAAAGCGTAGAGATATATTTAAGGCTCTGGGGCCTGGCTCTAATGCTGAAACAGCAACAGTTCTGGCTTTGGGGAGTGTTTTCTCTTCACCTTATAAAGGCTCGGAGCTTTACATTGATATCCATGAAGCACCAAGAGACCCTTTTATACAGTCGTTGATTAAGAAAACTGAGTTCCTACCATTTTCTCCCGAGGTAATTGCTGCTGGAAAGGAATTTGCTGTACAGAATATAAAAGAACCGTTTTTATGTGCACAGCTTAGATTGCTAGACGGGCAGTTCAAAAACCATTGGAAATCCACATTTTCAGCACTTAAACAGAAGATACTATCATTGAAAGCCTCGGGTCCAATTCACATTTTCATAATGACAGATTTACCAACAATGAACTGGACTGGAACTTATCTTGAAGAACTCAAGGAAGACACAAAGTCCTACAAGTTGTTTACACTGCGGGAAAGAGATGACTTGATAGTTCAAGCTGCAAAGAAACTCATGGCAGCTGAAAATAGCTTGAAGTCCAGTTTTCTTCCGAGAAATCTTGATGGAATTAAAAAGAAAAGAGATTGTGATCGTGTAATGCTACCGGATGTTTTGCTGTATGTTGAGGAGACTGTTTGTAGCTGTGCTACAATGGGATTTGTTGGGACTGCTGGATCGACTATAGCAGAGAGCATAGAGATAATGAGAAAAAACAATGCTTGCGAATTGTAGAGATAAAATATCCTCCTCTATAGTTGGAGATTTTTGACATTGGAGGGTATTGATGTTTACATAGAGGACATTGGGAGGCTTTTTACAGTCTGATGAGTAATTGGTATCTCTGAAGAAAGTTTTCTGGCTTTTCTTAAAGATGCAAAATACCAGTGGAAAAAGGAGCTGATATCTGAGATTTCTCACTCGAGGTAGCTACACCTAATATTGGTGCTGACTAATTTTTCCAAAGTCTGAATTATGGAGAAGAACCACAATCTTTTTCTAGGTTAGTACCTGCTTTGAGCACATTTTGTGTGTGTAACCTTATTCCTCATGTTATATTTGTTTTATTGTTCATTGTCATTTATTTTTCGTGGGGGTAAACTTCACAAAATAACCACCAACTTGGTGGTTTTGCACAAAAGAACACTATAAAGTACATAAAGTATTCTTAGCAGATAAAAATGTTCATGATTTTTTTCATTAAACTAGTATATGTGATGAATTAGGGTAACTTGTCATGTGTTAACCGTTTCATGTTTTGAACAATATGTGCTGGTCACTTTTGATGTTAGGTACTTTATATAATTATATATCATCTTTATTACCCTCTTCTTACGTCCTATTGTCAATTGTCCTTTAAATCTTTAATTCGTGCAGTTAACTTCCTTAACATTAATTTCCGATAACTCGTGGTACTGTTTGTAGTTTTGAAAGTTAATGATAGTTTTTTCTCTAATTAAAAGTCATAGTAGTTTTCTTCGAAACCCTGGTATGTTTCTGAAATCAACTCTTTGTCGGGTGTTGTATTGCGCTTCAGTGCTTGTCTCTGTAGTATGTGGTATATAAATTGACAATTTAACACCTATTGTAGGATTTTGACAAGATCTATAAGATTTCCAAGTATTTGAATTCAAGCTCAAAATGATTATCAAAATGTGTCTTGTATTTTAACTAAGAAAAGGGGTTTTCTAATCTAATTAAGATTCTTGAAAGACGTGATTTTCTAATCTAATTGCATGTATCTAAAGTTATGGTCTCCTAATCTCTACTTGGATTGCTTGGAGACTATATTATGTACCAACTTTTGGAAGTTCTTTGGATCATCAAATACACAGTCTAGACCCCTTCTGTTTGGACAGGGGTGGTTTTTCTTCATAATGCAACTAGCATTCTGGAATGTTAGAGGATTTAACAAATCCTCAAAACACATGATAGTGAAGCATTTTATTAACCAGTATAAGCTTTCTCTCATTGCTTTATTGGAAACTAAGGTGTCTGGTAACAAATTACAGTTAATTGCTAGAAAGGTAGCAAGAGATTGGGAAGGAATTTCAAATGTTCATCAAGCAAATAATGCTAGAATTTGGATTCTCTGGAATAGTGATATACTCTCAGTTCAATACCTGCGAAGCTCTTGTCTTATCTTTTCTTTGTGATTTGGTCCTCATATTACAGATGCAACCCTTTATACTGTGGAGATGTAATCATTTGTATTTTATAGACAATTGTATTTATGCTCATGCCTTTTAAATTCCAAATATTTGATCCTTGCATAATAATATCAATCTACATTATATATCAATGTAAGGGCAAAAAAAATATGAAATTTTGAATATAGATTATAAGCGGTAATAAAACAATTTAGGAGGTATAAGAGCATCTCTAACAGTTTTTTTAAAATTTTCTCCAAAATGGAGAAGCAAAAGTCATATTCTCCAAATTATTTTTACACAAACTCCAACAGCTTCACATTTTGAAGAATCCCTTTTTTTCTTCAAAAATTTGGAGAATGCTGCAGATTTGGGGAAGCTTCCCTATTTTTTTGTCCTCCATCCCTATTTTGGGGAATGAGATGGAGAATCTGTTGGACCAAAAACCTAACTAAATTCTTCAAAAGTGGGAAATAGGGAAGCTGTTGGAGATGTTCTAAGTGAACATTCGGAGTATCTCTATAATTAACTTTTTGCTCTTCTCCGATACTCCGAATGTAACCTGGTTTTATGGATACTGCATTGCTAACTAACCACACTAATCCTTGATTATTTATTTATTTATTTATTTATTTTAACAATTGAGTGGAATATTAAGACCAAAAGCTTAAAATGACCTATTTTCACTGCGTTATTTGCACTCTAATATTGCCCAAGCATGAAATACAACTTTATAAATTGAAAGGGCCCCATTTACTACTATTTATAACTGAAACCTAACTTCTTCAAATTAAAAACAATAAATTGATTGGGTGGGTGACTCATCTCCTTTCTCTGGAATTGGAGTGGCATTGCTAATATTATGTTTTATAATACTGATTTAGATGTTATATTAATTAATACAAAATTTCAATTGAGATTCAACCAAGAAACAAAATCGTGGTAGCAAAACGATCAAATGCAACTATCGAAAACCACTATCAACGCTAGAATCCGGGGATTAATATGGAACTTTGACATCAAAGTGCTTTAAATGGGCTCCATCTTGCCGACAAAATTTAGTATATGCTTAATTTTGCATTATGAAATTTATAAAAAAATTGCAATTGTAAGAGTATATCCTAGTCCAATAAGTTGGCGCCAAAGAGAGCCAACTTAATTGAGGAAATAATTAAACAGTAGTACTTTTGCCTACTCATCATCACGAAAGCGAGCAGAAATTGAGTAGGAGGCCAACTAAAGAGGTAGTTCACTATTTTGAATAGTGCTTAAGAGGGCAATACAAATGCAAATTGTATCAGTGCATTAATTCATTTGGGTAGAGTGTTCTAGACCAAAAAAAGGGCAGTTAAAATCTCCAAAAATTTTAGATTAGTTTGGCAAAACTCTCCCCTTCAAATCAATTTTGGCTTAACAAAATCTTTGTTAAAATAACTGGAGCTCTTTGTCTTTGAGCCTAATTACAACCGACACGCATGGTGAATTTGTACAGTTTAATTAGTTGCGTTAAAATTTGGAGTAAGATGCACTTGAATCAACGCCATCATCTCTGTATAAATAGTTGCACCCCAGAGCGCCTCTTAACTTCGAGCCTAAAACGCTCACACGGCTACAAACTCTTGGTGTCTTTTCCGCATCTTCAGTTTCTTTTGTTGTCTCTTCAGTCTCTCCTTCTCCTTCGAGACCAATGCTAGTCTTTACTCGCCGGCAACCCGGAGAAGATGGTCGCCGGCCGGAGCCACGTGGTATGGAGCTGCCAATGGAGCCGGAAGTGATGGTAATTAATTAGATGAAATATGAATGAATGCGTCCATACGTACATACTAACTTCATACATAAGAGCATATAATGTGTATGTTAAGGCTAATTAAATTACCAGATTGGTATATTTAGTTACTCATTATAAACAAGAAGGTATATATTCTTACTCTGGCGCCACAAAAAGGTGCGGAAATTGATAAAGTCTTGACAGCAAGGTACCCCTTGTTGGCGGTGAGTTTTTGGGCGATCTAAATTAGGAGTTTTTGCATAATGTACCCCCTCAAATTTCTCATATTTACAAATACAACCTCCAAATCTTGATATTTGATTGAAAAAAGAACCCTCTCTCTCCTCGGTCTTTCTCTCCCTCCAAATATATCTACCATCTTATCCAAGAATCCATGTTTACAATACATAACTGTTGTTGCATTGCCCACAAACATTTCGCCATCTTCTTTGCAAATCGATAAATCCACTCGGCCAAACGCAAAGCACCCACACGAGAGCACAAGAGAAGAGCAACCCAACAAGGGCGAACTCATCGAGCCCCAAACTCGCATCATTCATCTGTACTTTGAACAACCTCGAAGCCTCATCAGTCACCGCGCAAACCTATTATACCGAAACATGAGATCGCCGAATCCCAAGATGCTAATTCATCTATGTAGTTGTAGTGGATGGGTAGAGAAGAATGACCGGGGAATGGCGTAGTGTCACACCCCAGGCCCACGGGCCCGTTGGCGCGTGCAAGCCGACCCACCGATCGAGAACAACTCGATGTTAGCTAAAGTACACTGCCAAAATGCTAGCACTAGTTTCTTGGGCCTTGGGCTTTTCTATTTAAGTCACTAACATTTTTTCACACTAATTCATGTGGGACTAAAGTGAGGGTGTCAAAATTACCCTACCTTACGAAGACAATGTCCTCGTCATCACGACATGACAATTAGCCAATCCCAGTACTACTGCTAGATGATGTTGACTCTAGAGGTGGCTCCTACGGGCTCTAGAGGTGGCTCACACCACATCCACATGGTGTAGCACTTAGCCCCGTATAATACTTAGCTCCACACTTCCGACTGTCAACTTCTTTGATACCATTTTGTCACGCTCCAGGCCCACGGGCCCGTTGGCGCGTGTAAGCCGTGGGACCCACCGAGAACAACTCGATGTTGACTAAAGTCCAACGCCAAAATGCTAGCACTAGTTTCTTGGGCATTGGGCTTCTCTATTTAAGCCGCTAACATTTATTCACACTAATCCATGTGGGACTAAAGTGGGGGTGTCACAAATAGATTGAGAGGTGGTGATCGCTTGGTTATGATTTGAGTGCAGGTTTCGGTGGTTGTTTCTGGAGTAGGTTGCGGGATATTGTAGTAGACGAGTTTGAGCCTTCTTTCCGACTTAACTCACGTCATCTCTCCACAGGGTCCCAAATGAATTAGTTTATTTGAAAAAAATCCTTGTTCTTTGGAAGATCTATCTCGTGTCTGGTACTGCATGGTTCAGATAAATGTGAGGGGGGGGGGGGGGGGGGGGGATATCAAGAATTAGAGGTTAAATTTATAATTACTGGAGGTTTGAGGGGTATATGTGCAAAAGGCCCTAATTTAAATTGTTCAAACTCATCGACAACAACGATAAATATCTTATTGTCAAAATATAACCCTTTTTTATACCTTGTAGTTGTCGGAGCAAGAAAATTTATTTTATTGATAACCACGGGTAACTAAATATATCAATTTAGTAATTTATCCTCCATATTAATGACATTGCATTATCATTAACTTCCATGCCCACGGACAAACATAGAGAACTATCTACCGATCTTTGTCATCTTCATAATTGATGTATCAAGAAAGAAAGAAAGAAAGAAAGAAATTTAATTGTTTTCCGCTATTTTGTACCGATCAAAGAATAAACGGTTGTTGTTAGAAGGTCGAGTCAAGTGAGACCATGGTTTTAAATGAACTATGTTGATGCCTCAATGGTCAATTTATTTTTCTCTAAAAGAAAAATAAATAACAAATAATAGAGGAGTTAAATGGTAATTATCTTTTTTTTTCTCTCGTGTGAATTGACAGGTGGAGCATGTGGATATGGGAATGCAGTAGGGAAGCCGGAAGCATCCATTCTCCTCTAGCATTGCTGCTGGAAGCCCCTCCGTTTTCAAAGCCGGCAAAGGCTGCGGTGCCTGCTATCAGGTATATATGCAATAGGGAAGCGTTACAGGCATACCCTCAGGCACATTACCAACCACACCCCCTCTCTATCTACAGTGCAGGGGTCTCACATCAGTTTTTTTAAAAAAATATGATGTGGGCCCCCCTGTACTGTAGATAGAGAGGAGGTGTGGTTGATGGTGTGTCTGAGGGTGTGTCTGTATTATTTTTCTATGCAATATTATTACAATACATATAATACTAGTGGTCTTTTTTGATGTTATTACTCCTTTAAATATTTCAAAGTTAAACTTAGGCCATCAAATCCCTGAAATTGCTATCAGGAGTGGTAAATGATCGAATCGAATCGAATACCAAGGTGTTCGTATTTGTATTTGTTTAAAATTATCGAATTCGAATGCAGACTCTAATATTCATATATGGAGTTTTTTTGAATTCGAACTCGAATACTTGGTATTTGATAAATATTCATGAATATTCACGAATACTTTTCGAATATCAAAGTATATTTATTCCGCTAAAGAATTTGATTTTCAAATGGTATTTAAATTCATAAATAAAAATTATTCCTTTATAATATATAATGTATGCATATTTAAATAAAAAATTTCATTAGAAAACAAATTTAAGATTATTTAAGTCTTTAGATCAGTACATAAAACTTTAGTATAAATGATAAATAGGTTAAAAATATGACATCATATGTGCAATAATAAAATAATAAGTGATCAAATTTTAAACAAATATTTGATAGACAAACGAATCGAATATACATCTGGTTAAATTCTATTCGTTAGTAAACTCGAATACTAAAAAATATTTGTTTAGTGGTAAATGAACTACCGAATCGAATATGGCCGAATAGTTACATGAACAATTATCGAACTATTTATTAATTATTTGGTTCATTTCCACCCCTAATTGCTATTACGTCTCTCATTTTTTGTAAGCCGTTAAAAATTAATCTCTCTCCAATTCCTACTTTTAGCCTTGAAGTAGCTTAAGAAGGGGAGGTGAGCAATTTTAATGGTTAATTTGAACTACAAATTTCAAAGTACGAAAAGTCTGAGGGATTAATATCGAAAAAAACTCTGCGTACTCATTCTAGCCGTTTGAATTGAATGCATCGTTGTTCCTACTAAAATTGAGCTCTCTTGAAACTCATCAGGTGAGGTGCACAAGAGATCATGCCTGTTCCAAAAAGCCGGTGACCGTTGTGATCACCGACGAATGCCCCAGGGGTCCGTGTCTAGTGGAGTCCGTACATTTCGATCTCAACGGCACCGCGATCGGGGCGATGGCCTTGCCCCGCCGTGCTGATCGTCTGCGGGGTGTCGGAGTTCTACCTATCCAATACACACGGTAAGAATATATACGTAACACCTCCGACTAACAACTTCTATAGTTCTATCTAAACTCATTCTTCTTTCTAACTATTTCATTTAAGGGCTTATTTGGTAATTCTTAGTAAGGTTCTAATTGTAGATATTATTTGAAGAACGCTGTTACAGGGACCCAAAATATAGGATCATTGAAGGGGACATGTGAGATGCTCCCCTCCTATTGCATAATGAGCTGACATGACCAGCTCATTATGGAATAGGGAGGGGACACCTCACATGTTCTCTCCATTGGTCCCATATTTTTGGTACTTAAGTCATTTTTCTTATTTGAATAATAGAAAATTGAGATGACAGCTGATATGATGTCTTTTCTTTTATATTTAATTGATTATATAGTAGAAAGTGAATATTTCTGGATACGTTAAACGGATACAAACGTGATAAGCTAATAACATGTTTGATCTGATCTGTTCACCAAAGGGTAGTATCTAATTCAAGTAAGATCTAATTCATTAAGCTAATAATATGTTGTGGTACAAAATTAGTATGAAATTGTAATTGTAGTAACAAAATAACGACAAATAACGAATTACATCTTACTTGATCTCTCCCGTCAGCGTCCCCTGCAAATTCCCTCACAAAACCATCGCCTTCCACGTCGCATGTCAGGCTTCGAACCGCAACTACTTCGGGTCCTCGTCGAGTCGCCCTGACGGAGAGGGAAGCCTCAGCAACGTCGAGCTCGGCGAGTCAAGGTCAGTCAACAAGGCCACGTGGCGACCAATGATACAATCCTGGGGTGCACTGTGGAAGCTTGATTCAGGGCCGAAGCTGAGGGCTCCGTTCTCGATAAGGCTGACGTCGCAGCACTCGAAGAAGAAGGTGGTCGCCAAGAATGTAGTTCCGGCCAGGTGGCGGCCGGGGGCCACTTACAGGTCTCTTGTTAATTTCCACTAGGTTGTCGAAGGCATTTAGCGTGGTTTCAGATTTGGACGTTGTTACTTAATTTAGGCAGTAACAGTAGTAGGGAGCTTAGTTTGCGAGCTAAACTAAATGTTCGATAATGTCTAGATCGTGAGAAACCGTTGGTAATCTGGATGGTTGGGAGGTTTTAATATGATTCCTAAAAAAAAGGTCGAGATTGTTGTTGTTTGGTCCTAATGTAAGTTAAGCTTATTGTGGTGAGTTGTATTTGTTTAATAATGTATTGGTTGTTGTGTTCTTTAAAAAATTTAGTTCCCCAAAACGAGTCCCCTAAAACTTTGATATTTTGAATTAAATTCCTAAACAAATTCATTACCTTGAATTATTTTGAGTGCTCTTAGTTCAAATTTGTTAGTTTAGACGCAAAATAAAGTAACGACAATTCTTTATTTTTTCTGTCTTTTAGTCATGCTTATGTTTTCAACTCCAATTTTTAACCGGTCATGAAGATAACAAATCATTCCAAGTCCATCAAATTCTATAGATGGAACTTAATAAAGTGACTGTTGTTAGTTTATTTTGCAGACAAAGCCCGAAAATTCATCAAGATGATGAATCCCTTCTTATTAGCAATAATAAGCAACAAAATGAGTTCACAAGTTCTCAAATGAAAATTCTGTGCGTAACAACTGAGAAACAAAAGCTCCCAAGAGCTTCAGATACTGTCCGAAATATGTTTCCATTACGATGTTTACATTGATTTGATTTTTTGGAACAGTTAAACTCTACGGTGCTCCTATAATAGGAAACAAGAAATTATCTTCATCTCCCCTTTTCAGTAAGCACAGTAAATACTTGGAGAGCATAGCTAAAACCCAGAAAAAACCAACTTTCTATGTAATCCGAACTTTCTATGATGTTTGGAAATCCCAACATAGACAAATCGGACCTGTTATGAAAAAGTCGAGGTATTTCGAATTGTTTGTTGATATGTACCAAGTAAGGGAAAACATCTGAAATGATTTCAATATTGGACCTATGAAATTCCGTCTGCTAGAATAAAAAATGCGCTTCTGAGTTGATCTTATCCATTAGAATTTCTACTTTACTATTATTTAGTAATAACTTAATCCTTCAATAAAATACTCGTTATATCAAAAACTGTGAGGGCTCTCAGCCACATAGATAGTTCAATGTGCTCATCAACGCCTGATCGGAGATGTGGATCATCCAAGGCACATTAGCATGGCGTACTCCTCCTGTCCGAATCAGAGTTTGAACTAGACCTAAGATGATTCCAAATAGAAGAATTTAATCATTTTGATTTGTTTGAGGAGATAAAAAGAAAGGTAAGTAGCACTTATTGGGGGGGGGGGGGGGGGGGGGGGGTGAATAGAGTATATGCTAATCTAATCCGATGTTAAAGCCAAATTAAAACTTATTAACAATATCCTAGAAAATTATGATATACAACAAATTATATGAAATGATATGTAATTAAGGGCGATATAAACATGAAATAATGGCGATATAGAAAGCAATAAACAATGAGCATAAATAATACGCCAAGGTAAACTCAAACACACAATATGATCACGGAGTTCGATCACTCTCGACCTATGTCTCCGCTCCTCACTCACGAGGAGAATCTCCACTATCACAACCGGTTTTTAAACGCTAACTAAAAATATTTACAAGCCACACCATCGGTTTTCTAGCTCACCAAAAATTCTTACAACTCTCACACTTGTAACTACACAATACACCCTCTAAGTGTTGGCCTAGCCCATGTCACCTTCCTTAAGTTTTTGGATTTACCACCTCTCCCTAGGCTTTACTATCGACGTCACTCCTCTTGGAATTGACTCCATCTCTCACCACACACTCCTCTCGGTGTACTTGTGTATTACAATGTGATTTCACAAATTAAGCACAAATAAAAGTGTGTGTTCTCTAAAAAAGATAAGAACTCAATTAAGCTCACTCTCAATGTTACAACTCCCACAACTCAAAAATACAATATGTGAAAATACTAAAAGCTCAAGTGAGTTGTGTGTGTAAACAATGAGTATAATGAAATCTAACTCAAATTAATCTAGCAAATGTAAATATAAAATTTTAAGAATAAAAAATCTAGATAATTGAGTTTAGAAAACTTCTCCAAACTCACAAAGATATGTAGAAGAGAGGATGAGGATGAATTCCTCAAACCGAAAATGTAAGGCTCCTCTTTGTGAAAATTTCTTCACGCAAAAACAAACTTAAAACAAACTCTTAAACACCCTAAAACTTCTTTTTTTTAAAACTTTCTTGAGAGAACAGAAATAGTTATGACAAAGGGGTATATATAGGGTAGAAGAACTCAGCCCAAGAAACCAACAAAAACCACTAAAAACATTAAAAATAAATTTTGGAAAACAACCGTTACTGTGCAACGGTCATATTATAAGTCGACTTATGTCTTCATGAGTGGACTTGTATGAGTTATAAGTCGACTCAGCAGACAAAAATATCTAACTGTATAACATATCATAAGTCGACTTATAAGTCAACTTATGAGTTGACTTATGAGTCGACTTAAACGTGCACATGACCTGATATGAACAGTAAAAAATAACTTTAAACCCTCTTTAAAAATATCAAATAAATTCCAAAAAATATAAAACCTTGAAAAATATTTATAAACATGAAAATAAACATATTATAAAAAGAATTTTTTAAATTACACTTTCCAATTGTGAAAACTCATCATTTTGCAAACTAGGTCAAAATACAAAATGTCAATACACTTGTTTTTTATATTTTGACCGAAAAAAGTTTTGAAAACTCTTGTATGGATTTAGAGACTAAATAAAAGATGTAAACTAAGATTATTTAGTCCATAAATCAACAATACAAAATTTTATCAAAAATACACATATTTTGAATCTTTCAAAACAATAAACATGATTTCAAATCTTGATCTCAATGAAATCATATCAAGCACATATAAACATGAAACAAATATGTGTGTATATAATTATATTCATTTGTTTCATATTTATGTGGCTAAACACATTATTTTCAAAAACAAAATGATAAATATGAAATGTATATGTATGTATATAAATATAACTAATAGTTTCATATTTATTTAAACTTGAAAGTTATAAAACCAAAACGTGTATGTGTGTAATATTTGCGCTTTAAGCACTAACACACAAAGTATAAACTACTAAACTAAATATACCCAAGATATTGATCTTTAATAAAGCTCGATCTTGGTTGCGGATGAAGCTTGATCAGATCTTGACTTCAAATGCAAGGCTTCATTCCAGTATTCCTTCCATCCTCCAATGTATATGATCGTGTAGGCTTAATCTAACCAACCTACGACGAAGGATCTTTGTGTAGAATACCTAACAATCAAATATAAACACTCGATAATCATTGTTAGGAATTGTTTGTTAATCATCAAAACTAGATTAGATAGTAGGCTCATAAGCATGAGACCTAACAATCTTCCTATTTTTGATGATGACAAACAATCTACACAAGATATACTCACAATACACATGTTTATTCCCCTTTGTAAATATCAAAATGGGAAAAACAATAAAAGATAAGAGAGCGTAAGCTCCCCCTATAAATTAGTATAGGTGAGTATAAAAACAAATATAAGAAAAAATCTCCCCCTATCAAAATGCCACATAGAATGTATGAAATGAAATACAAAGGCAAGCATTTGTGAGCAAGCATAGATATGAAACATGCCAAACAAAACTCACATTCAAAAAGACCAAGTGAACACTTATATATGTATATATCATTAAGATAAGTGTTACAAGAGTCTTAAACACAAATATATCAATAAGATATATATCAAAAACAAAAATATTCAAAAGATAAAATGTTTAATCAATAAAGCCAAAAAAAATTATAAATCATCAAACATAAATCATATAGATATATTATTATGAAAATAGTGTCTCAATAAAAACAATATGTATAGATTTATGAAATCAAATGAATGGAAAAACATGAGAATCATGAAAGATATTTTCAAATGAAAGCAAATCATGAGAACCATGAAAATCATGATAATCATGAAAGTCCAAATGAAAATCAAAACAATCAAATGAAATCATGAATCTAAACCATTAAAACGTGCTTAATCTATAAATCATTATTTTTGAAGAACAAGTGATTAAGCAACTAGTAATGTCAAAATATTTATATGTTTTATCCACAAAGGTTGAAAAAAGTATGCTAATGATAAAACAAACCAATATCAATAATATCGTTTTGACAAGAAAAACTAGATAAACAATCATACCAAGCTATTAGAGCTTGTTTTAATCCATATTTGCATCACAAAAAAATGTAAGCATGATAATTATGTGAGCAAACATAAAACACTAATCACATAAAGGTACATTATAAAGCACAAATGATGATTCATAAGTTCAAACACATAAATATCATCATAAAAGTGTTTTACAATGATCTCATAAGTATAAACCAAATTATACCAGAAACTACATAGTTCAAACCAAAATTACAAACCATATAAGAATCATGAACTATGGTTTTGTTTAAAAATCCAAAAATAATTCAATTTAAAATTTTCAACAATGTAAATGTATATATATTTGAAAATACTTTCTTTTAAAGAGAAAATATGAGTAGTTTTAAAAATCTTATCAACTTACATTGTTATAAAAATATGAACCTAAAAATCCAAAAATACAAAATAAACATAATTAATTTTATTTTGGCACCCAAACATTTTTTGTGCCTTCAAGTTTAGGGACAAAACCCCTATCAATAAAGTCCAAATCTCTAGGGTTATGATTCCATTTGGGCGCATTTTGTATGCGGACACGGTCAAAATAATACATGTGCAAATGACCTTTACGATTGTAATATGTGCAATGAAAGAGTTGAAAAGATTTGCGTTGACCTAGTGGTTAGCACGTGGATCATTTGCAAAAATAGATGGTTCTTTGAAATCATTTTGCAAACGAGAAACTCTTTTCAAATCGAAACAAAATTTAGTCAAATGACCAAAACGATCACAATAATCACACTTATACACATGAGCATGCTTATGATGAATTTTATGTGCATGTG